GAAGCCTGTGCTCCGCCACAGCGTGTGGAGGAGTTGCCAACCAGAGATGCCCTCAGCTGGTTCACTCATACCCAATATAGGGGTTTAGAGTTTAGGGATTAGGGTTTAGGGTTTAGGGATGTATATACCCCCAATAGTGGAGAATCAAATGGAAAAGAACATGGAACATGAAATGGAAACTGGGTGGGTTTATAGGGATATATGAGCTATAGTCTAAACTCCTAGCATCCCCCTTAATAAGCCGTATCATACTCCCCCATATAATCCCTCTTAAGGAGTTTAGACTAAAGCTCGTGTTGTTGTCAGCGGCATTCTTAGTCATAGTATATGGGTATTCTTCTTGTCTCTGTTTGTACTATGTACTATGCCACAATTTTTACTGATGTAACTATTAGGCGTAGCAGCAGCAGTAGCTGCAGTAGCAGTAGCAGTGGTACTAGGCCGGCAGCCCCCCTTTGAAAACTACACACTTCTGAAAGCGTACCAGCCCACAACTATTGAATGTTGCAGTGCAGGGAAGGGTCGATAATTTCGTACATTGAGAGAAACACTAGAACCATACTTCGAAACCCCCCCAGTACCCATACTTACAGCTGACTTCAGTATTATCACTATTGTTATGATTATACTTATTATTAGCCTTGTGGGCATTATTCCTGTTATGCAGGAACAACCCCTAAAACCTAAGCCCTAAATCCTAAACCGGCATTAGGTTTAGTAAGTTTAGTAGGGACTACGGGGATTTCCTAGGGCTTATCTTCCCTTATTCCATACTAAGCCCCAATAAGTTGAAAAGCAAGTCCCAGTCACAAGCGGTGCCTGAGGGCGCACATTTTGACTTTTACGCTTATATCTACATTTCAATTAATCAGAATCCAAGGCACGTCTCTACAAACTTAGGTTCAAAAGCAACATCACGAGAGGTAGCCGCCACAATTCAATTAATCCCCGCTCTACTATTCAAAGTCCCCCATGATATTGAATATTCCCATCGCAGCCCCTTACGATTTATTGGGCACAGGGGATTATTGGAGAGATTGCGGTCGGTACCAAGTCCCACCTAGCCGACATGCGCTCAAATGGCAAATAGTGTCTTGAAACTGTAAGGGTTTCGGGTTTGCAGGCCAATAAATCCGCACTGGCACGCCTTGTTGTCTTTGTCCTTTTCATGTCAAGCTTTCACATGCGACAACGGGCTGAGTAAATTTTACCTCGAGGTACTTTACGCCTCATGTAAGCTCAAATGCCAACCATTTGTGGGGGCAATCATTCTGATGCCCTTATATGGTAGTTTCCATCAATGCGGGGACCCCAACACGATCCTGGAATGCTATAACCCTTATTATGGGGACCCCAAAAAAAGTATCCCCAATTTTGGGAAAACTCATATCAACGCAACGCGTTAAGCTACATGCTCCGTAGGATACTGGATACTGGACAGGTGGGGTCCCTTCCATCCCTTCCAGCAGCCAGCAAGTAAGGCTAAAATGGGTTAGGGATGTGCTACTTTGATTCATGTCCAAATCCAAAACCAAAAACATAAACTCGAGGGTTCAGGTTTTGGGTTTGGGGCAATCCTAAACTCCAAAATCTAAACCTTACAACCTAGCCGGTGTAAGCCTTCATGGTGTAGGTTCTAAGTTTTAGGGCAGACGCTGCGCTAGACTGAGGGCTCGACAAGTCTCCAGAAGTGACGGGCCGTGCGGCCTACGATGCTTTCCAGGCACTTCCGCTGCGTCTTGCAATTTATGGAGGTACCGAAATTCGGAACTCCAGGGGGTTTGGGGGGTTGACACTGTATGTATGGTTCTGGGTTGAGAAGAGTGCTTGGGATTTATCAGGCTTGCGGTTTAGAAGGTCTACTTGGAGGGTCAGGGGGACTTAGTAAGTAGGCAATACCCCCTATAAGTTACATAGTAACCCCAGTTATCCCCATTTTACTAAGTCCCCCGAACCCTCCAAGTAGGGCTAGGGCTTCGGATTTGGGTTGACGGTTGAAGCTTCGAGGGCCCTGGGCCACCTCCTTATACTTAATTTAGGGTACTATATCGGGTTTAGGGTTTGGGGTACTATATAGGGTTCAGGGTTTAGGGTTTTGGATACTATATAGGGCTTAGGGTACAATATAGGGCTTAGGGTTTAGGGTACTATATAGGGTTTACAGTTTAGGGTACCATATAATTAGGGGTTAGGGTTTAGTGTACTATATAGGGTTTAGGGGTTAGGGTTTAGGGTACTATATGCGGTTTATATTAGGATAATGGAAAATAAAAGGGGAACTACTATTTATGGTTTTGGGTTTAGGGTCCTGAGACTAACTGGGCATCCTTGTACTCCCCGGACCGTACGAGGCTCCCTTATCTCGGACTTGTCGATGAGACGTCGCTAGGAAAGATTAAGAGATTCCGCTTGTAGGATGTATAATTCTTTTATAGATCATTCATCAACTGAACTTATAGCCCCTGGTTCTGATAGTTCCCACTATGAAGTCACTGCTGTTTCATGTTTGTTCTGAGTCCTTGAATATCCGGCTTCTGATGTCGCCTTTCTTCAGGCAAAGTGGGACCGTTTTGACAACGATCACTACTTGGAGGACAGATGTATGTTGCCCTTTGTTGTGGAGTAGGCGTAAATCATGTGGCACAGCGTGGTAAGTACAACGTCTAGGTCTGATGAGACTTGCGTATTGAGTTGTGCTAATAATCTTGCATGTCTTCTCTGGCTTGGGTCTTGGAGACTATAGATTTTCCTTTGCTAGGCAGTGATTGACGAGATTGGCAAGAAGCTCAATGGCCAGAAGTTCAATGCTGGCAACAGCCTCAGCGTAGGCCGATTGGATTGCTGAGTTGAAGGCGGGTGAACCAGCACATCCAGCACGTGGTTCAGGAACGAAAGACTCGACATCCGCCATAGGCCTCGGCAAGAATTCATCGCGGCCTGTCGCCGAGTGCTCGCCTCAGCCCCATGCAATGCTGCTTACTTGTGCAGCAGCTGATTCTGAAGAGCTGGCAACTGCTATGGAGTAGATGTTGGTTCCAACTCAGGTTCAAGGTGCTGCTGATCGGTGACAAAGCCGTTGGGAAGAGCTCTTTCCTTCTGCGACATTGCACAGGTGAATTCGTCAGGCAAGGTTTGTTACTGTGTGCTTCTCATGATTGTGGCTGGGTGTTTGGCTCCGTATGGCACGCGCGCCTCGAGTTCGTGATGCAGTCAGGAGTGGAGCAGCGCGAGACACCGAGGCCGCAGCATCCAAGATCCCTCCTCTTGTCTGATCACTCCATGGCACAACATGATGCAACATCCGAAAGTCCCATGCGACGCATGCGAAGGTGGTTTCGCTGCGCTTTGCCACAACGTGTGGCGAGCCCAGCGCTTGGTCGACTGCAGGGAGTCTGTAAAATGTCTGCGGTATTTTTGCCACATGGGGCTTTCTCGAAATGCCCCAGGCGTTATCGGGACTGCGCATATACAGGGAGCAACGGGGTCCCCAGTCAGATTGCAAAAATGCTCATGCTAGCCTCGCAGCTAAGGATCGTTTTAAATCTTTGGGAGCTGGACCCTGCCGCGGAAGAGCGGAAATTTGGACAAGCCCAGGCCATGGCCTAGACCTCCCAAGTAGCCATGACAATGGCCTTTATACGCCTTCTGGGGGCAAAGGATGATAATGATGGGTATTTAATTGTATTTAGAGGGTTTGGGTAGATGCCAGGTCTGGCTTTTTGAAGGGTTTCCATCTGAAGCTAGCTATGCGGTCCCTACTTTTGAGAGGTGGTCCTGGCACTGCTCATTCAGTCCGTGGATTGCATTCGAATAACCGTAACCGTATAGTAATAAGAGTAGTACTGATAGTAGTAATGATAGGCATGATTTGGTGCATGATGGCGCAGAAGTCTAGCTTCTCTTAACTCGGCCGTTTGGTACATACTGTGCCTGCGCGCAGAGGCCGCTATCATCATGTACGACATGGGGTCGCGCGCCTCGTGGTGCCAGCCACAATTGTCAACGTCCCATGTGCGCATCAATACGGGATGCCTGAGTGTGAAGGTAGACTTACTTCCAAGCGCTGTCCTAGGCGGAGCGTGCCGAACATTCTTCGGGACGTCAACAAGCACTGCGGCACAATTCCAGTTCTGCTGGTTGGCAACAAGAGCGATGTTGAGGGCCAGCGGAAAGAGCAAACACGCTCAGCCCGGTTAGCTTTCCAGCGGAAGCGGCGCCTCCAGCATTTTGAGAGCCTTTGGCTGCAGAGTGTCTGAAGCGACAAACAGTAACTGCAACGGATTCGTAGTAAATGCAAGGAAATCCTTCATGAAGCACTGGGACCACGTCCTTTTACTTCTGCCAAGGACTAGCGTGCAGACCTGCGACAACTTGGAGCAGCCTGACCGAAAGCGAACAAGTTGTTACCTTTCCTCTCTTTTCTGCTTGCAATAGTGCCTATCTTGACGCGAGGGTGTATCGGGGGATCTTGCATGCAATGAGGAAGCCATTCTGGTGGTTACTGCGAAGACCCTTGGCTGATTTGACCATATCTGGCCCAATAGACCCTGAAGCCCAGCCCTCAACCCCAAAGGACTATTTGGGATTACATGGGGTCATTCAGGGATTACATAGGCTTATAGAATCATACAGGATTATGGCAAAACCTTTGGTTTTCTCTGTGAAAACCCAACGAATACGAAGACTTGCTAATCCTAAGCCCTAAACCTTGGCTTGGCAGAAAAGGCGCGCGAAACAAACAAATCTAAGCCCTACGCTCCAAGTCCTAAACCCCCTAAACCCTCTAAGGACTCTCCGGCTGCTCCAGTTTGGAGCTGGCAGCGCCGCGAGCCAATTCTCCAGAAGTTCAACTAAAGCCGGACGCCTGCCTGGGCATTACTGCTACTATTGTCGCTGTCCTTTTTACTGTTACTGGTACAGTTTATGATGGTTTAGGGTTTTGGGGTGAAGGTAGATTATGTATATTATGAACCCTAAGGGGCCAAGGACCCAAACAATAGGCTTCTAGGTCCCTGATCCATTCATATCATAGTGTTTGGGCCCTAAAACCCTATTATTTGGGTCCTTGGACCCTTAGGGAATGTCATTACGACGGCTATTTCGGGCCTGGCGGCAAGTGCCGGCCTGGCCAACCCTTAGCCAGAAAGCCGCTGCAGGCAACCTGTGATTGCAAATGGAAACGAAAATGGATACTATAGGGATTATATAGGGGTTATATAGGGATAGTGGAATATATTGAGGATAAATAGGGATAGTGGAGTATATTGGGGATATGTAGGGATAGTGGAGTATATTGGGGATATGTAGGGATAGTGGAGTATATTGGGGATATGTAGGGATAGTGGAGTATATTGGGGATATATAGGGATAATGGAGAAGAAAATGGCAAGTTTTGTAATATATTGGGGATGTATAGGGATGATGGAAAAGAAAATGGAAACTACTGTAATATATTGGGGATATATATAATGGAAAAGAAAATGGAAACTACTGTAATATATTGGGGGTATTTCAGGGCATGCAGACAAGAGCCTGAAGGCGAGTTGAGTACACATTTAGGAATTTGGGGCCCTTTAAATTCCAACAATACGTACTCCCAATTGATCTGGTCTCTGATGGGGGTAGCAGCTTGGAGTACCCATTTTGCGATTTTAGGGCTTTGAAAGTCCCAAAATGCGTGCTCGCAAGCGATCCGGGCTTTGATGAGGGGAGAAGCTGGGAGCACCCATTTTGGGATTTTAGAAACCCTAAACCCTAAACCCCCTTGAAAGTCCCAAATCACCAGCCAACTTGGACCCCCCACCCCCGACCCCAGGATTTTAGAACATCGCTCCGTTTCTTTGGGAAATGCCGGGGCTTTTCATTGAGGTATGTCTGATTCCAAAGCTTTTCAAAATCTTTTGAGTTGTTAATCAAATCCGGCTACTTGAGGAAAAATGATTACAACAAGATTATGTTAAAATCCTTTCGGTGTTTAAAAACAGTATTTTGTTTTTTAAAAAAACAGGTTCGTTCAAGATTTTTCTTGGCTCGATTTAGTGTAGGGAGCTGTTTACAAACCACCTTTAAAGTTTTTGCCGGGGGTGGGGGTCTTAAGTTCGCTGGTTACCAAAGTACGTGTTCCCAAGCGATCTGGGCTTCGATGGGGGGGAGCAGCTGGGAGTACACATTTTCGGATTTTAGGGCCTTGAGAAAGTCCTAAAGTGCGTGCTCCCAATCGATCTGGGCTTTAAGGCGGGCAGCATCCGGGAGTACATATTTTTGGGTTTCGCGGCCCTGCAATCCCCGAACACGTGCTCCCAAGCGATCTGGGCTTTGATGCGGGGAGCAGCTGGGAGTACACATTTTCGGATTTTAGGGCCTTGAATCGCAAGTGCCAAAATGCGTGCTCCCACGCGATCTGGGCTTTGATGGGGGGAGAAGCAGGGAGCAGCTGGGAGTACACATGTTTGGATTTTAGGACTTCGAAAGTCCCAAAATGCGTGCTCCCAAGCGGTGGTACACATTTTGGGATTTTAGGGCCTTGAATCGAAAGTCCGAAAATGCATACTCCCAAGCGATCTGGGCTTTGATGGGGAGACAGCCCTTCGTACACATCTTATGATTTTAGGGCCTTGAACCGAAAGTCCCACAATGCGTACTCCCAAGCGGTGGTACACATTTTGGAATTTTAGGGCCTTGAATCGAAAGTCCGAAAATGCATACTCCCAAGCGATCTGGGCTTTGATGAGGGGAGCAGCCGGGCGTACACATTTTGCGATTTTAGGGCCTTGAATCGGAAGTCCCACAATGCGTACTCCAAGCGATCTGGGCTTTGATGGGGGGAGCAGCTGGGAGTACATATGTTTGGATTTTGGCCCTTGAAAGTTAGGGCTGTGAAAGTCCCAAATTGCTGGGCTCAGCTGGGGGGAGCAGCTGGGAGCACAAATTTGGTGATTTGTCGCCCTTGGAAGTCCCAAAATGCGTACTCCCAAGCGATCTCGGCTCTCATGGGGGCAGCGGTTGGGAGTTTTCATTTTTGGATTTTATGGCCTTGAAAGTCCCAAAGTGCGTGCTTCTAATTGATCTGGGCATGACGGAGGGAGCAGCTGGGAGTACACATTTGGGTTTTTTGAGCCCAAAACGCATACTCCCAAGCCATCTATGGTTTTAATGGGTGGTAAGCAAATGTTTAGTTATGGTGGGTATGTTTGTTTTGTTGTCGGGGTTGCCGCACCCCCTCTACTCTACAGTTGGCAGTCCCAATTAACCTGTGGGTTTCCTGGAAGTTGGTGTGGGTATCCTACTTCCCGCGTCCGATGCAGCGGCATCTGGTTTATTACGTATATAGTCTGTTTACTTTAGGTAGCCTTCATACGCGGTATGTCTACACATCGTACCATGAACCGAAACCGTTTCACCGTCCAGTTTAACATATATGGATACAAACATGTGAGCTTCTAAGTCAGACGACCAATAGAATGACAGGAACCGCAAGCCCAGCCAAGCTTTTTGCGCCCACATACCGAACCATGAACCCACACTTAGGTCATCCTACATATCCCCTAATCTACATCCTACTTGTCCCATAAAGTGGCTGCTATAGACATATACCTGACGTTCCTTGTCTACTTGGAAGTCCATGGCTACCTACGACATCTTACAACCTACTGGTCGCTATTTTTACATCCCACATAGCCGTATCAGTGGACTTGGGCGGCTTATAACTTTGAGTCTAAACAAACACAGTTACCTGCAAGCAAGGAGCTGTTTAAGCAGCACGCGCTGGAGCTTGCTGAGGCTTTGCGGACCCCTTTGCCTGCGCAGTAGCTGAAAAAAGATCGGGACCAGCTGTTGGGGTTGTCTCAGAACAGGACTATGTCGGGGGTTCTGGGAGTGCATGAGGATTATGAAGAGCTTCCTTAACATGTTAGAGGGATGATTTTGAGAAATACACGGTTCATTGGGAGGGTTGTAGACCTGCTTGGCCAAGTCTATCATTGCTCAACAGCCGCTACAACCACTTTGATTAGTAGACCTGCAAGCATGGGGTGCTAAGGTTTTGCGGTCTGTTTCATCCTCATGGGTTCCACGCAAAGTCCTTGCTATAGAGGCGAACCAGTTTCCAGTAAATCCTCTGGGAATTACTGAGGCCCTTCAAACCCTGTGTAACCTTATATGGCCCCATTTAAGCTTCCGGTGACTCCAATTACCTACAGCTCAACAGTAACTGCCCGGGTTTAGGGTCCCGGGCTTTGGGTCCAATTAACTGCAGCTTAGTAATAATTACTCTTCTTGTTCGTAGGTATAACCTATAAAGCTGTAGGTAACTGGGGTTAGAGAATGCCAATAAGCCCCTGTATAACCACAGATTCCATGTCATTTTCCATTCGCTTTTCCGTTCCATTCTCCACTACTCCAATCACTTGGCATTTCCAGAATTATGATATGGGGTTTCCCAGAATCAGGAGAACCCGTAAAGTTAAAGGGGGTTGTAGGGGTTATATAGGGCTTTTATAGGGACATTTATATAGGGTTTAGGGTTTCCCAAAATAGGTGGTACCAGAGACACCCAGAAGCTACAAAACAACGCGGGTGGTTTCATGGAGCCCTGTCTGATATTGCTTAGTAGTGCTTTCAAATCCTTCAGGCGAGGATGGCGCCAAGATACACTCCCCCAAACTAACATGGAAACCCATATAGTACCCTTTTAGAAGGACTGTAGTCTTTCTAGGGCCCTTTTTGGGTTTCCATGTTAGTTTCCGGGAGTGTTTTGGCTCCAGCCTGGAGCAATTTGTGGACAAAGTTTGGTTTCCGGAGAGTTGGCGCCATGAACGGACTACAGCTTACGCCACCTCCTGGCGTTGAACTTAGGGCGCAGCCCGGGAGCTTTGGACATCCACAGATGTGCAGCCGCCCATGCGTTTACATCGTCAAGAGAGGATTCTGTCATCATGGCTCTCAATGCGGCTATTGCCACGGGACTCACGAGACAGGTCCGGTGAAAATAAGGAAGCATCTGCAAAAGCTGTTCGCACGCATGTCTCGAGAAGAACGGATGTTAATCGTGCTGCGCCATTTTAGCAACTAGGCTGTTCTGTGGGCTACTTGTGTGGTTTTGGGTTTCGGTTTACAGGTTTATTCTGTGTTCTACCTCACCTGGAGAGATCTGTTGCGAAGGTTCTTCATCCCTCGCCATGATACTCATTCCCCGAATAGCAACTCAAAACATACGACGGCTACATATTAGCGGCAGATGTACTATTCGCACGGGTGGTGTGCCCTTGAGGGTCCAAGGATCCAAATAATAGGGCTTTAGGTCCCAAATACCGTTGATATTATAGTATTTGCGCCCGAAAACCCTATTATTTGGGTCATTGGACCTTTATATAGTCCATATCCTATAGCCCCAAGGGACCCTATCATTTGGGTCCTTGGACCGTTAGGGTACAAGTTCATTTTTCTCTGGAGGGGCAGAGATCACTCGGCAGCCGAGGCCAGCGCTCAGAAGAGCCGGGGTTCCCCTCGGAGGCCACGGAGCTTTTGGGCTGCTCTTAGGGTTTAGGGAGTAGGGTTTAGGGTTTAGGGTGGAGGGTTTAGAGTTTAGGTTCAGGGTCTTCTTATCCCCCAAGAATGGAGAATCAAGTGGCAAGAACATGGAAACTGAAATGGAATCCCTACATCCCTTTAAGGGGGTATAGAGGGATATTAGCCCCAATACTGGAGAATCAAATGGAAAAAATGGAAAATGAAATGGAGACTGGGTTAATAGGGTATATGAGGTTTCTATAAGGGTTAGATATTGGGTCGCTGTTAAGGAACTTAAGTTGAGTTGCAAGAACGGGTGTGTGTATATATATATAGTGAATGGGGTATAGGG